GGGCCGAAATTTTTAAAACGATCTTTATATATGTTACTTTAATAGAACATGCGATAGTTCGATGAGCTTCTTAAAAATAGAATAATTTTTATCGCATATCTTTGCATATTATTAAACGTTAAGTTTTTGAATGAAGTGTGTCCCTAGAAAGAAGAATCAGGTTTCATAGATCTGGATTATATGAAGTAGTTTAGATAAATTCTTATGAGAATTCACTCTTGTTAACATCTTGTGGTAATAAATAAAAACAGATATAGAGAAAAACCTGAAGTTAATCATTCATGTTACGAACAATGTTTTAAAAATATTTGCTTCACACAACATTGTACCATGAGTTCATGGTATACTCTTCGTAATACTGGCACTTTACATACTAAAATTTTTAAAATTTTCTTTTTTAACTCATTGATGTAACGACAAAAGTATATTCTGATATTAACTGTGATATACTTCAATGTTCTCACTCCTTTTATAGAGAACGGGAGGAGCAATAGAGCGAAACGATTGTGAGAGATGCGTATATTACGCAGCTGATAAAACAAACCCAGTCTAGTATAAATCCCATTCATTTTCACTATTTTACTCACTCAATGGGCTGTTTCCTCTGCTTAAGACGGAATTGTGAAATATACAGAAGGACCAATTAACTCAATAACAAAAGTATAAGGGACGGTCTATATAGAAGATTCACTCCAGAGACATAACATACCAATGCTCTGATTGTTATAGTAGCAAATATCTCTGTATTTACATAAGATATCATCAACTCTACATACAGAATTTCTTGTATATATTTGCATTATGGATTGAGAAATTGTTTTCGAATCAGCTTCCAGAGATCTTTTCTACAAAAAACAGGACAGTACTCATTCCTTTGTTGTCTTACTATTGTACTCAACATGCGTCAGTTAGAGAATGCGGTTCCTTTCATTCTTCCAAGCAATACGTTTCTTATTTGTGGTACATTCAGACAAACGCCGTGTTTAAGATACTCAACACATTTTAGTGCACATTCGGTCTTCAGTCAACCCCTCTATTGCAGTATCTTTCATAAAAACATACCACATCCAAAACAAATATTTCGTTCCTGCATCAAAGTTCGATCAAAACGGCCAAAAGACTTTAAAAGCAAACTTCGTTTCTGATTGGTCGGTTTCCGACCAATGAAACATCAGTCAAAGAAATGGGCTTCGGATTCGGACTCGCGGATCTCGATAACCTATAGCAAAGTTCAGTCAAAACGGCCAAAAGCCTTAAAATAAGAAAGTTCATTTCTAATTGGTCACTTCCCGACCAATGAAACCTTGGCCAATGAAATGGGCTCCGGATTCGGATTCAGGGCCATCGATAACCTATAGCATAGTTTGATCAAAACGGCCAAAAGTCTCAAAATAAGAAAGTTCATTTCTGATTGGGCACTTCCCGACCAATGAAACCTTGGCCAAAGAAATGAGCTCCGGATTCGGATTCAGGGCCATCGATAACCTATAGCAAAGTTCGATCAAAGCGACCAAAAGTCTTAAAATAGGGTGATCTATCTTATATGTTTTTTTGACCTCAAGCAAACACACAAACAGACGCATTTTATTCCGTATGACCCTCTCTTCAGTCGAGGGAACAACTGAATACTCGACGCTGTCCTGAGTAGAACTACAGACAGGTCTGATAGGCTTCAAGGGAGTACTTTCCAAAGATATCCACTCTCCATAGACGCATATTTAAATGATTCTTTTAACTTACTTATAACCGATACATATATGCCAAAAAAAAATAAGTATGGGATTTGGACACACTCCTGCATTTGGTGAGAAATAAAACTTATTCCCCACAAATCTTCGACTATGTCTAAAAATGACAACTTGAATTTTTTACGATGTCGGAAATTTGAATTTTGAGCAAAAGTTTTATTGACGTTTTGTTTGTCATGGTTGTATAGAACTCGTCGAGTTTCCTATAGATACGTTGTTTTTGACATATTCACACCCTATTTTTGCAGGAAAATTTAGGCAAATTATGTTAAGCAAATCAGAAACGTCTATAAAATTGAAATATGCCACCAGCATCAAATTTCAGTAGGCTCAATATTTACCCAAGTACTTCTGTTGATTTTACTCGTCATACAGTTAGGAAAAAAGCTATGCATATTTTTTGAAAAATATTATTTGATTGTTGAGGTACTCGATTTTTTCGATATGATGACAACAAAAAAGCTCATAAAACAGGCTCGTATTCTGAAGTTTTCACGATCAAAACTTTATGGCCAAAATAAACGAATATCGTGCTCAGAATCAGTACAAAAATCTGTATCGAATAGTACATTCAATATTCAAAACTAATTTTCGGCTAATTTCGATTTTCACACCTGCTTACCTTATTTTTGAATAAAATGACCTGTGGTTCCCTCAAGGTCAAAATTTGTCGAAAATTAGTTTTGAATATTGAATGTACTATTCGATACAGATTTTTGTACTGATTCTGAATACGATATTGGTTTATTTTGGAAATGAAGTTTTGACCGTGAAACCTTCAGATTACGAGCCTGTTTTATGAGTTTTTTTTTGTTATCATCATATGGAAAAAATCGAGTACCTCTACAATCAAATAATATTTTTCACAAACTATGCATAAATTTTTTCTCCTAAACTCCCGGAATAGAAAGCATGGCGTTCTATTACGCTTCAATGAATCGGCCTTTTTTTGATGGAGTTCTATTATGGGTGGCCTTCTATTATGGATTTTTCGGAAAATTCCTTCTACAGTTATGCTCAGTTTTTTGGTTAAAATTTTAAATTAAATTCAATAGTAATTGAATTAAGTGTTTGTTTTTTCCTACTTTCTCTAAGGCACATATTCCTTCACGTGTATGTCCCGACTATATGTAAAATAATATATTCTAAGTGTACAAAATACAAAATTGATTGACATGGCGTTCTATTTTGTCGAGTGAATCAAACTTCTGGTGGTAGCACTCTATTCCAGGTGACCTTCTATTTCGGGGATTAACTGTATGACGAGTAAAATCAACAGAAGTACTTGGATAAATATTGAACCTACTGAGATTTTATGTTTGTGACATATTTCAATTTTATAGACGTTTCTGATTTGTTTAACATAATTTGCCTAAGTTTTCCTGCAAAAATAGAGTGTGAATATGTCAAAAACAACGTGTCTATAGGAAACTCGACGAGCTCTATCCAAGCGTAACAAAATATCGGAAAAAAAATTTTGCTCAAATTTCGATTTGACAGCACCTTAAATTAGAGTATGCTGTTCATTCTCTGTCAGTGAAATAAGCAAAAACTTGGCAATAAAAATTCGTTCATCAAAATGATATGGTGATACAGTGAAAACATAATGCATAGAATACTAGACAGCTGGCTTCTCATTCAATTTCATACTTATGAACCTTTCTTTTTAACTTCTATTCCTTTTTATCTGCTTTATTGCATACAAATGTATGTCATTAATTATAATAAAATATATTATAGAAAATAATTTCTATCATTGTTATTTGTTCCAATTATAAGGAAAATATACATAACATTTGATTAGAAAAGTACATTTTCTTATATTTACTTTTTTTTGCTATTGAATTTTCAAAAGATGTCATTGTTGTGTACTCAAAAAGTGAGTACACTCTAGAATCGGTCAGTGTGTCCGGCCGTCCGGCCGGCCGTCCGGCCGTTAACACGATAACTTTCGAAAGGAGAGTCCGATCGCGATGAAATTTTCTACACAGTTCAGTCTTAACAATATCTCGGTCGAGTTCGAAGATGAGAAGGATTGGCCGAGCCCTTCCTGAGTTATTGCAAAAATACTCATTTTTCCCTGCACCTTCCCTATGGAAAGGTCGACCCATCCCCACTTTCGTAAAAGACTTTTCCTATCATAGTCAACTAAAACCCCAACTATTATATACCATTCGATAGAGAATTTTACGAGCTACAAAATGGTATATAAAACATAAGGAAACAAGAAAGCCAACTCAGCTATTGCAAAGATAATTAATCGGAATTCGGTTCTGTTTTTGTCACGCTCTAATTGATCCACAAATAGAGCTCTATCTTTCGATCACAGAGATGATAGTTCGAGGTTTTCTGGGGTGGAGAACTCGAATCTGTGCTCTATTCGCCTCGAAATCCCATTGGTTGAACAGTAACCAATAGAAATCAAGTTATAGGAAAAACGACTTTCTTAGGGTAAACCAAGGTGAAGAGTTCAAATTTGAGCTGTATTCATCCCCAAATCCTATTGGTTGAGCAGTAGCCAATAGAAATCAAGTGTTTATAGATAAGGTTTGCCAGAATAATATTTATATCCCCATATTCTAGAACGACTCATCTGTCCCATTCACTTTTTGAAGTACACATAACTCTCGGATTTAAATCCGAAGTTTCCGCATTTATTTTTCTCCTGACTTTTGATAAGAAATTTAGTAATTGTTCCTAACATTTTCAGAAGACTTGTATTTTAAGAAAGAATTCTCTTTATATATATAAAGAACCTGATTCAGGATTTCGATTTTTCAAGAGAAAAAAGTCATTTGTGATCTTTAAAATAAAGAAAAAGTTTATGAACGAACAACATTCCTTAAAAGAATGAATATGTATTCAGCAGTGAAAGATATCGACAGCTAAGAAACGATTACATTGTAGAGGACAATCAAGAATAGAACAATATATTGAAGAGGGCAACAATAACTACGAATAGGATTATATCGAGGACCAAACGAAAAACAAAGAAAATGTGACAAAACATGCACAGTAATTGTGACCATACGATCGTCCGCTTTGCTCTCATAACATAAGATTTACTATCCGACGGGCAAAGCAAGACGAAATAATTATAGAATGAACAAAAAATTTTCCCCAATTTTCGACATTCGTTCACTTAGTTGAACACAAGAATTGCCTCACATCAGTGCTGATTATTCTTTCTGTCCTTATCCAAGTATTTTTTTTTAGATAACTTACAAATATTAAAAATAAAATAAAATAAACATGACTCAACAAAATTTTAATGTCGAAATTTTTAACAAATTTGGATTTGAATCAAGTATGTTTACATCAATATTTAGTCTAGTATAGTTTCAGTCATCTTCGTTCATTTGTTTAGCTTCGAAAGGTAATATTATATGTCCTAGACAAGATTGTGAAATTGAGTTTCAACTTCTCGATGGTCAACAAAGTTTAACTGATGACCAAAAAAAAGAAATATGGAACCACGTACAAGATGACCATCCTACATTATTTAAACAATTATTTGAGAAATATTCAACAAAAGCAACATTCACACCTCGTGAACAAAAAGTCAGTATTTCTTTTCGTTTTTGTGCTTCATTTAGTAACTGTAGGAAAACAAAATCTATTTATATATGAACTCTGATACTATCTATAGATGAACCCAGAGGATTTCCATAGCGCTTATATAATATTAGAATATCATTATTTTTTTTTCTAAAATTACGCAATTACTTCAGAAATTTTAAGAAGATTAGATAATTATCGTTGTAATCTTTCTCTCGTTTTGATCTGATACCGATGCTACCTATGTGATTCGAACTAGAGAAAAATCGTCGGTTTTTTGAAAGTGGTGCATCATAGTTTATTATATCAAAAGGACTGAATATTTTTGAAGTCTGTCAAAACTGACAGTATTGAGTCCGTTTCGATACACATAGGGGGGGGGGGGGGGGGGAGTGTTGATGCGTCTGAGTCGCCTATACTAGCCACAGAATCCAAATCGATCCCAATTCCGAAATTAATTCTCATTATAGATGGGGCTTCATAAACTTTTAATAGTAAAATATATCGTGAAACTTTTTTCTCGATGAATTTGAATTCTTTTTGATAATAAATTCGAATTGAAGTAGAGAATGCTCTCTGCGATTGTTTATAATTGGAACCAAAAGTCGTACACGCTAACATCAGTAAATCGTCTGCATACGGCCTGTCCTTACGAGTACCACGATATATCAGCAGTACTACGAATAAACATGCGACATGGATATCTATCAATAGAGGTCATCTCTAATCTTACTCTTTGACCGACGTAATAAGCTACATCAATTTTTGATTTGGCTTGTGTCCAAAAATGTCTGACTTGTTCATCTCTGTTCTTTGTGTATATATAAATTAAATTAAAATATTTTGTTGATCGTAAAGTTCTTGAAGTTAAATCATCTATTTAACAAATAGAATGATAAAGCTTATTCTATAGAAAATATTTGATTAGTTTTTTTAATTTTTATTTAAATTTTAAAATATAATTTGATAATATTACTTACCAGCAACTGAAACATCAAAAAGAAAGAGAAACATGTTAAATTATTCATTATACATATCTATATTTTAGGTAGATGTACACTTGTAGATTAAATTAATAATTATCAGATTTCGACTAAGAATTGAATTTTTTTTCTTTATCATAAAATATCCTTTTATCTGATAATGACATGACCTTTTTTTCGGAAGCTATCTAGTATTTTACGTGAACAATTTTTTCCCGTTCTGTTTCCTGCAGGAATCGGGAATGCAAATTCCCGTGAGGACTTCAAGAACATGAACAATATTTAAAAAGGACGTTCCCCAAAAATCATGTTGTTTTGTTTTGTATTATGTATATACTGTGCAAACTTACGAGACAACTACTCCAACTGATGACTTCATATTTTGGTTGTCTGTAGGTCTCACTGAGACTAAGAAAACGCTAGAAGCATTCGTGCCCATTGGCTGCTGGTTCAAATTTATAGTTGTTTTTTATTAAATTTTTAGTCAACACCAAAGTCAAATGAAGGTATTTCGATCTGATATTCTATCCATAAACAGGTCTAATGATTTCTCACATATACCAAAATTTTCAATCAAAGTGAACGCTTTCTTCTTGAGATATTTAATTTGAAGAACAGCTCCATTATTGTGATCTGTCTGTTATCGGTGGACATTTTTTGAAAATTAAGACAATTCCATGATACATAAATTATGCCGTTGATAGAATCTAGTATCTTGTAATGATAATCTTTCGCATACACAAAAAATTAAATCACAATAGAAATTCTGAAAGCCTTACGAGAATCGGAACGAGAAAAAGTTCAAATCAATCGCGAAAATTTTAAGAAACTTTCATAGATTATAAAGGATGAATAGATTTAAATGATCTCAAAAGACTTTAAAACTTCAGCATGTATAAAAACGTCTTGTTTTTCGTTCTTATACGAGACAACAAAATATTAAGCTTTCCATATCTATATTTTTTGTCAATGTTATTGATGACCTCCTCGAGATAGGATAGAATGACCTTTTTTTTGTTATTCATTCGTACGGACACATTCATTGGTAGAAAACACGGAAAATTTTTTTCTTTTCTTTTCTCCTCAAGAAAAGGAAAAATCATTGCGTTCTACATGCATGCCCTTGCTTACGATTGTTCGCTCACTTGAATATTTCCTGAGTTCGTAAAAGACGAACAACATACTATTGGTATTCGGAAAAAAAGATCATTGTATAAAAAAGCCAATTTATATAAAAACTTTGTGTACAAATGGCCATTCAACAACAAAATAAGGTTTGTTTTAATTTCTGTTTTTTTGTTGAGAACTTCTTAGTTTGCATATGGCTTTAGGAAAATTATTTTCTTTTATGTTTTTTTTTAATGCCATTTATGATTTATATTGATATAGATATGAGATATAAAACAAAGAGGAAGAGATATGTATCTTTAAAAAATAAATATATGTAAAGTTGCGTAAAATGAAATCTTCATTTGTAAGAAATAAAGATAAATATTTGATATATTGCTAGAATAAGTTATCAAAGATAAAATTTCAATGGTTTATTACTTTTTTAAAGGTTCATATTTTAATTTTTTTTTCTTACAAAATGAGAGTCAATTAATGTTCCTAGTTTCCAAACTGTGTCTCAATCGCATATTTTACCTCGATCTTTTCTTTTTTTTTTTATTTAAGATCGACAGTGCAATTGAAATAGTTGGGGCAACCTACGTAAAAATTAATCAAATTCTATCAAAAATATCTATAACTGGTCTTAATGAACAACAAATTCTTCAGCTTATATCTCAAGAAAATGCAAAAATGGAACAAAAGTTAGCTGATGTGTTGATGGACGTTTCAACTCCAAGTCAACAACAAAGAACATCATCATCTTTAGCTTCCCATGTCGCCACTTTTTTAACAACTGCGTCGCAGTTACACGTAGAGCCAATTCTGCGTCGCAGTCGTGCGTAACTGCGGCGCATTGATCGCAACAAAAAAATCATATGTTCGACTACGATCGACTGCGACGCAGTTACGCGTAACTGCGTCGCAATTCGATCGCATTCGAACACATGGGTTCCCTCTAACAGTTTTCCTCTTTTTTTTGTGTGTATTATACAGTAATTACCAAAATTGATCAACAAATAGAATGAAATTTTTTCCTGAATTCATATCTCGACAAGTATGTGAACTATAATAGTCCAGTTTGATTCATATTGTAGTCCATATCATTTAGTATGTAAAGCACAAAATTTCAAGACAAACCACCCTTCTATTGTAGGATTAATAACTAAACACTCAAAAAAGAGATCGTTTAAGTCAATATGAATCAAACTGGACTATTATAGCTCTCATATACTTGTCGTGATATGAACTCATGACAAAACTTGATTCTGCTTATTGATCAATTTTGGTACTCACTGTATATCTATTGTTTGTATATTGTTTGTATACTGTTGGTGTATTATGAATGTTGAACGTGAGTGTGTGTATTCCTTTTTTTTTTTTTTGAAATCAGTTTTGAAGAAAGCGAAATGTGTTCATATATAGGTTCTTTGAAACTAGTTCCAAAATGAACTAAATTCAGATTCTGTATGCAGTAGATATATCTATCATGGCTAGAAACCCATCGATGCAATCATGACGACATTGAAATATTAGTTCACAAAATTCCTATCTTTGTTAAAAAGGAAAATATGCATTATTGAGTTTATAATTATTATTTTATGAAATATCTATGTAAACAGAAATAGAAGGTTAACGGTAAGTCCAGTACAATAACAATTGAAAATTATAATTTTTTACAAAGTAAAACTAATAAAAAAAAACCATCTGCTGCATAAGTTATTTGTGAGATGAATTTTGTTTAAATTGTTGCTATTTGCTCGTTCTTTTTTCCTATTCCCTTTTTCTTAATTTAACTGTATTATTATTCTAATGATGGATTGAACTGACACATACTCTACTAAAAACACTTTCTTTTGTGTTGGTCATATGATAGTTGTGGGAAGTGAAAGAAATCATCCCCCATATCTATCTGGCGGAAAAAAACAGAAACTGTGATATTTAGAATACTGCAAAAACGTATTCCAGTAATTTAAATTTCATCGAAGGTTCTGGAACCTTCTAAGTCTTGTTATTAATATCGTTCAGCACCTATTAATCGAGGTTGCTAAGTTCTGTAGTGGAACGAGGAACCGTAAAACTTCGACTTGAAACTTACACTTACTATTTTCTTCGAAAATATATATTTGAGCTTCCCAAAAAAAAATCTCGCTGTTCGTCTAGTTACGAATTACAAATGTAACATGGTATGAATGTAGATGTAAATGTGTGGTGTGAGTGTGATCTAAAAGAAGATTCACACCCACAAATTTTGCGAAATAAATCGAATTCGATACATTGTATATTGTTTTAGAGCATTCCCAGAGAAAACTATTCGAAATCGAATCATAATGAAAAAAACTCAGGTACAACTGCAGAAGAACGACACTCTCTATATTAAATGATCTAATTGATGGAGCACATCAAAGAATGTGGCTGCCGTGGTGTCGTTCTTGTGCAGTTGTACCGAAATAAAAGAAAACTAAAATTAACAAGATATTTATCTAATAAGATAAAGCGTAAAAAATTCAAAAAAAATATTCAGATAGATGACGCTAGTTTTCCAATTTGGAAAACACGTAAAAATTTGAAATAAATTTGAAATATTTCTACATAATGAAAATATGATTCTAGTTCAAAAATATTTTTTTATTGATATATATAATAATAAAAATGAAGTCCTGATAGCTACAGTAACGAACTCAATTGAACGATGGCTGAATTCTTTAAAGCTTTGTTTACTTTTTTTTTTCTTATCTTGTGGTTTTCAAACTAATTCGATTACGAATCAATTATACAGCATGTAATGGCATCTGATAGTGAACTTGATCGAAATGCTATCTTTGAAAAGTAATATTGTCTTATATTTTCAATAATTATTTATTTTAATTGATTTTATGTATTCAATTAGATTTGCTTCAATAAAACGTATGCATGATGAAGTAGGTAGAAAACAAACGGAAGACTATCAAAAGCGTCTACAAAAATTGAAGGAAGAAGAAGTGAGTTTTGTAAAACAAATTTTATTTTTAAATCAAGAACAAAGAAAAAACTGATTTTTCACTTGAACAAATCTACCTTGAAAAGTATATATTTAAATAATAATCGATTTATTGACAATAAGAATTTAAAAATACATTAGTCTTTCTTCTTTATGATTTAAATGAAATCAATATAGATTAATTCTAAATATGTATTTTCTATTTAGTCTAATTATATGGCTAAATTACTAGCTCAACAAATTCCAAATCGATCTCAACAAGATGTACCACCTATTCGAGTAGAAAATTCAGCACGGTAAATTAGAATTTGAATTATTATCAAAATTTTTAAATCAAAACTCTATACGAACTTCTTTTATAGCATGAAACGAGAATGAAGATTTTCTTTTTTTTTGTTTGTAATCTAAATTACCAAGAGATAAACAAATGTAGAGTGAAAATTCTAAATAGTTTGATAGATATAAGTATCACATACTAGACACAAAAAAAAAATGAATTTCATTCTCTATAAAAACTACAATCAAATAGAGATAATAATATCAAAGATCTATAAATCTTATCTTTATTATGACTCACAAAGAGATATTTTATTTCATTCATGAGAAAATATTTTGAAGTTCATTCTAAGATCTAAATTTAAATATATCTTTTTATAGATTATAATTTATAAAAAAAAAAAAATAATAAATTTTTATTTTTAGTCGTGATTTATTTTTAACATCAAAAAATGGTACTAATCAATCTGATGTTCCATTATCACAACAACATTATCCATCATATAAAGTAAATAAATCGAATAAAAAAGAAACCAAATAAATAATTGATTTAATTTTAGTTAACAAATCGTTCTTCATCTCATCATCAAGATTCATATGATAATAGAGATTATGAATGGAATATTGACGATGATATTCAACCATTAAATATAACCGATAATGAAATACTTGATGAACGTATAACAAATCGTATAACAAATGATGATGAATCTGAAGATTCATATATAACTGCTTATCATCAATTACTTCAAACTCATCATCATCAACAACAACAAATAATAGCTCAACAAGAACAAGAAAATATGTTATCAACTATATTTGAAGCATCATGTGAAGATGCAACACCTATGACATCACTTGTTGATGTACATCAACAACGTACACAAATATCTCCAAAATTACCATCGATTCCAATTTCTGAAGATAATCTTAGTGACCAAGAAGAAGAAGAAGAAGAAGAAGAAGAAGAAGAAAAATTTGTTCGTCCAATAGCACCATCATTTTCTTCAATTGATGAAATGCCTATTTCAACAATATTTGTAAAAAATGAAAGTAAAATATTTTGTCTTATTCAAATAAATTCTTCTCTTTTTTTTCTATTCCTCTTATTATTCTAGATTTAAAATACAGTGAATATATCCTTGAAAAACTTCAAACAGAGGTAAACAATCATATATGATTTTATTTTTCTTTCATTCTTGTCGTGATTTTAAATGCCTGTAAGAAGCAAACAATATCTTTTATCAGAGATTCTTATGTATAAAAATAGAAAAGGAATGAATACGAGTAGCTTATTTCGAAAAGAAAAAAAAAATAAAAGCATGACAATAACAATTTTGTATTTTGGTAACAAACAACAACGATAATGGATTTTGGAGAAAAACAAAAATTTTATCGACACAAGAACAATCATCATCATCATCATCATCATTTATAATTGGTCGGTTTTTTTTCCTCCCAGAAAAAGGAATATTCCTTGTCAATCTGTTCGTTATATATTTATACGATTAAATTATTTATATACTCTATTACAATTAATAAAGTTATATCAAATATGACATCTACAATTGAAATTACTTCTTCAACAACTATACCAATAAACAATTCAAAGATTTGTAATACAACAAATATAAAAAGTAAGTTGATTACTAAATAAAATTTTGCTACATTACTCTTTTTGAATAAAAATAACCATTTGAAAGAATCTATAATATTTATTAATCTTCTTTTTTTTTTTCTAGTTCAAAATTCATCATTCACTAACGATTCTTCTTCTTCAAAATTAGCATATTCTTATTCAAATATTGAACAAACTCTTGAATGTCCTGTATGTCTTGATCGTTTTCGTGATCCACGTGCATTACCATGTCAACATGTTTATTGTTGTTTATGTCTTAAAACAATTATATCATCAAATAAATCTTGTATAAAAATAATTTGTCCATTATGTCATCAAACATTTTCATATAAGAATTTTGAACAATTTCCTAAATCATATATTCATAATCAATTACTTGATTTAATTCCAATTAATTATGATATTAAAGGAAAATGTTTTAAATGTAAAGAAAATACTTTATTAAATTTATGTCCATGTTGTGATTATCATTTATGCAAAATATGTTTTGAAAATGATCGTCAAAATTTATTAATTAATCTTAAAAATATTTTTCATCTATGTTATAATAATCGTGATCATTTAGAAAAACTAATATCAATAGATATAAATAATTTATTATATAAAACAAATTTCTTATTAAATAATTCTCAAACAATAGAATTTAATAATATTTTATCAATATTTTATGATTTAAATTTTATTTATCAACAAATAAATAAATTACCAATAACAATAACTAAACGAACATATGAAAATGATAATGAAAATTTATCAGATATAAAACATAGGAAAATTGAATCAACAACTTATTTAAATCAACCACAAGAACAAATCAATGATGATAATGATGATGATGATGATGATGATGATGATGATATTATTTATATTAAAACAATACAAACAAAATCTACATCAACATTGGATGACTCATAGAATTTATTGAGACAGATGAATAAAGAACATATAAATCCCTATCATATCTACTATCAGAATTTTAAAAGAAGGCACCTGAAAAAAAAGCTTATAACTTTCGAACGAAAAGTCATAGCGACCTGCGATTTTCAGCAATCGATAGCAGATTATAGGGGGCATATTTTTATATAAAAATCAAGGTTTAAATAATCAGTGATTGTGGAACCACTGAAAGAGTAGGCTCGTTATTTGGTGAAATCTGAGTAGAACAAAGCTGAAACTTTCACCATATATAGCCCCACTGTACCTCAATCTTCACTGAAAATATCATCGATAAATCTTGTAATGACGAAGAATGATGAGCCAATCATCATCTAACCTTACATAAGACTCTCATTCACTGAAAATATTAGAAAATGGCCTCACCTTTTGGCTGAATAAATGCCATAATCTAGACTTCATATCTATGCTATTATACCATAGTTTGATTAAATGAACGAGAAGAGACGGTGAAAATATTACTAAATTCTGTATTTTTCTTAAGAAAGTTGAAAACATTTGTTTTAAAATACTTACTGTATGAAAATCATTTCTTCGTCGAATTTTGGCTATTTCCGTACATTTTTATGATCAAAGTGCGATGCTATTGCATAGATATGAAGTCTAGATTGTGGCATTTATTCAGCCAAAAGTTGAGACCATTCCCTAATATTTTGAATGAATGAGTGCCTTATGTAAGACCAGATGATGATTGGCTCACTATTCCTCGTCATTTCAAGATTTATCGATGATATTTTCAGCAAAGATTGAGGTGCAGTGGGGCTATATATGGTGAAAGTTTCAGCTTGTTCTGCTGAGATTTCACCAAATAATTAGCCTATTCTTTCAGTGATTGCATAATCACTGATTATTTAAACCTTGATTTTTATATAAAAATGTGCCTCCTATAATCTTCTATCGATAGCTGAAAACCGCAGGTCGCTATGACTTTTCGTTCGAAAGCTATAAGCTTTTTTTCCAGGTGCCTTCTTTTAAAATTCTGATAGTAGTCTTATCTTATGTACTTTTGTTTTTTGTTTTGAATGAATATAAACGAGAATGTATTTAGGCAAAATAAATCGATTATATTTTATTTAGAAAGATGAAACATTTACCAATCAAAATCAAGGAACTAAAGAAAAACGACCATTTTTACGAAAACGTCAAGGTCTTGCTCATTATCAAGCACCACCAAAACGTCGTCAAATATGTCCAAAAACAACTGATACTACTAGTAATACAAAAACTGAGGTAAAAAAAAAGAACGATGTTGAGGATTTCATCGAATTAAGAAAAATAATAGTCATTTTCGTTATTATTATTTCACAAAGACGATTCGTACATTTAATTGTGTGGTGTCATAGGAACAGTTTCGACCATCGAAACTCAAGTTTAAAATAAAATATTCTATGGTTGTAAGCAAATTATCATATAAATGAGAACATAATTCGATTGAGATGACTCAAAAAAAGTGTTAACCGTCGACTAAATAAATAAAAACGAACGAGAGATGCAATACGAACAAAATTCTGGAATAGTTTTCTCCAGACTGCGATCAAAAAAAAGCATACATCTCTACTCTAGACAGTTGTACTTCCGATAGTTCACTTGAGAAAATTTCGCAAAGATCGACCTATGTCCGTTGTAGACAAATTGAAATTTTCGAACTGACGAGAGAAAAGAGTTCAGATTGTTAGCTTATTGCTGTAGCAATATTACATTTTTACGGTAGTTTTTCAATTCAATGCTGTGATCTCCCTCAGATACATGCGAAAAACTGATTTTCGACTCGGAATTTTTCATAGAGACAGACCTGAATGGGATTAATTTATGATGAAAGTTTCAGATCTTTTAATTTGCTCTTATTCTGAAATAAGTACATTGAATCTGTTAGTGTATATGAACGATGTAAAAGACAAACTTCTACTATAGCTGTATCTTAGGACCAGAACAACGAAAAATATTTGAAACTTGCACTATAAACTATTCTCGTTAAAGTCTGTCTCTATGGCCATAGTTTCAACTCAAAAGTGAGATTAATTAGTCGAGAAGCTTTCTTCGTGCATTAGAATTTTTTCTGCTTGAAACAATGCTGCGTACATAATATTTCACTGTATCTACTTCGATTTCCTTCTAATAGAAATTCTTAATAATAATTCTGTGTATATTAGAAATTATTAATTTGATGATCCTAGCCGAATTTCAATTCTAGGCTTTTTAAGTTTAGTCATAGACAAGAAAAAAAAAGCCAATCAAAGAGTTCTTTTTTCTTTAGTCTATTAAACGACCAACAAGTGCTAGTAGTACAAGTAATAATTCTCGTTCTACATCAATAAATCAACGAACACGTTCTAATTCATCATCAGCATCTATGATATCAAATCGACAAATATCAACAACAACATCACGTTCATCATTAAAAACAAAATCAACTAAACAAATAAATAATATAAATTCAACAAAACAAATAATTCCTATATCTACTCAAAGTAATCTATTAGGTAAAGTTGATTTAGATGATGAAGATGATTTATTAACAAAAAAATATCAAACAAAACAAAATTTAATTGAATTAAATGATAATAATAATGATGATGAATCTTTATCAACAATGAATAAATTTAATTCTAATATTCAAACAATGATTAATTCAAAATGGAATGCATATAAAACATCATTTTATCATAATGAAGAAGAAGACCAACAACTCGATGATGATGATAATGATGATTTATATTCTAATAATCGTCAACGTACATCAAGTCGTAGTAGTACTATTCAATCAAAAATTTCATTAGTTCAACCAAAAAAAGTATAGAAAAAAAATCATTGATTATTTATTTCTTGTTTTTTATTGATTATTATTTGTTTCTTTTTTTTAGGATTTAGATGAGTTTGAAAAACTTGAACAGTATGCCGAAGAACATCCATCAATGATCAGTACAGCATCTTATGTTGATAATGTAGTTTTTAATGTATGTAAAACACGATCTAAAAAGATAGAATAAAACAATCCCCCCAGCGATCAGTAACAGCAGCTATATTGGGTTTCATATTTTAAGGTCTCTCTTGTCAAAAATTTCAATTTTTGAAGTCCTGTGACTTTTCCTATAGACTTCTGATTTGAAGAACATATCATGCATGCTCTAGCAAGTGTGCGTCATACATTTCCTTCAAAGAATTTCTTGTGAATAGTTCTATAAGGGCAAAAAAGCTGAATTTTCAAAAGTTCAATTTTGTATGGTGTTTTTCTCAGAACGAATTTTTTTTCTGTTCGTACGTCCCACATTTCTTACTACAGGAATTGTGCTAATAGCTTTTCTCATATATTTACAATTAGATTAGAAAATATTCTATTTCTTTTTTCTAGAATGATCAACAGTCGAAAACAGTGGATACAGTTGTTAATCATTTAATTCATTATCATAAAGAAGAAAATAATACTAAACATGAAGAAATGAATGATTTATCAACAAATACAAATCGTATACGACAACGAAAAATTATACCATTTAAAAATAAAATTGATACTCGTATGCAACAAATAACAACAACAACAGCTAATATAACAAGCGATAATGATGATGATGATGATGATGATGATGATGATGAAAATGAAGATCATAAATGGGATGATATTGAAGTTGCTAAAGTTATTCCTGTCATTACCGATGAATATAATAGTGATAGTGGTATTAGTTCATTTAAAACTGATTTTCCTAAACAAACACAATATCAACAAAAGAAAGATTCAGCACGTTCATCAGATTTTGGTGATGATCATTCATGGACTGATCGTGTTAATAATGCACAGCCTCTTAATTCATTAATGCTTAATACATTTCCAGGTTTACGACATACAGTACCAACATCAGCACCTGTTCCTCCTCCTCCGCCACCACCAGCACCTGTATCTGAACATAATCAAGATTATAGTCGTTTAGTACGTGAAAAAGCTAAAGAATTAGAAAAACAAATTGAATTATTTGAAAAAGAAAATGCAAAATTACAATCACTTTGTAATGAACGTAATTTAGCTATAAAAAAATTAAAACAAGATCGTGATGAATTTGAAAAATTAAAACAAAAACAAATTGAAGAATTTAATCAAATGAAAGAAGATGAAATCAAAAAATTAAAACATGAAAAACGTCTATTTGAACAACATCGACAACAATTACGTGATCATCCAGATAAACGTGAACGAGAAGAAATTGAAATATTTAAAAAACAAGTAACAAAAAAAAAAAAGACAATTCTTTTTTTTTAATTATGTTTTTTTTTTTATAGATTTTAACTTTACAAGAAGATTTAAAACAACGTGAAACACGTTGGTCAACAACAGTTAATCGTCTAAAAGAACGTATTGAAACATTAGAATATGAAAATGCTGAATTAAAACAAGAAAAAGATATTATTGAACGTAAACGACTTGATCTTATGCATCAATTACAAACAACTTCTAAACAACAACAACAACAACAATTACACGAAGATACATCAACAGTATCAATAACAGCAAGAAAATCACTTGTTGAACTTCAACAAACAAAACAACGTCCAAAAAGTACTGTACCAACAACATCAAAAACTCAATCATTACCAAAAACAATGGTTGTAAGAAATTCTGAACCACCAATTAAACCAAAAGTAATATCAAATGGACGACGAACACCAACAACAGTTGTTGGTGTTAATGGAATTAAAAATAATCTTGATACATCAAGAAAATTATCAACATTATCAACAACAAAACGTCCAACATCAATGAATGAATTAACAGAAACAATTGAATCAATACCAATATCAACAATTATTGAACCAGCAATTATTATATCAGAAAGAGCTGATTCAGGAAATGGTGGAAGTGATGAAGATAGTAATCGGTATGATCGAAAAACTGATGAACATTTATCACCGTAAGTAGACGAAAACAAATATACAGATAAGAATGTTGATTCTATCTTTTCTAAAGTTAATATTGAAAATATGGTTCAATGATCATAAAATTGTATTGATCTCGTGCATGTTCACTTTTCTGAATATGTATCACAACTAGAGATGTGTGAAACAAATCAAACCTAGGCTGCAAACACCAGAAAAATATCTGCTGGAACCATGGAATACAGAAGTTATCGAGACCGGAATTACGAAAAAAAAATTGTCCTAATCGAAACTGAAGATTATAGCAAAATATTCTATTAGTTTTAAGTGAATTATCTCATAAAGTATTAAAGGATTTTTTTAAAATGTAATTTGAATAAATTCTAAAATACTTTTCTCTAGATTGAGATTAGAAAAACTTGAGCCAGCACATCTTTTAGACACAACTCATTTGATAGTTACCATGTATCTATAGGAACAATAGTTCTGAAAGGAATTTATTACAATATTTAAGAAAAGAAGTTTGCTACTATTTTCAATATCTGTTGAATATTTAGTTTGTCTATATGACAATTCGATAGAACGAAAAGAAAGATTTGATTTTTTTTTGTTACCGATAAGCAATTGTAATTTTATACAGTTCAGAGATGAGCATAGAACACAACAGTCCTATCTTACCTTGTCTTACAAGAGAGGACGGCAGTATCCATGTGATTCATACTGGATAAAAACTGCTAGTATATCGAAAATCAACTAGCAGTAGTTTGATACTTAATCAATCGGCTATCTTCTGATCGCCACTCTACTGCAGCGGTATGCCGAGAGATGTTCTCCAATCGACAATTTACAACCGATATACTAGTGGTAATGCAAATAAACATACAATATGGATACAGTTTCTATCATGTTTTGTCATTCAGCAAGATAGACAAAGACAATACAAGTACACATTCATTCCTTCTGTGATCTTATCTGCTGTATAGTGAATCAAATGAATTGACCTAACAAATCACATACATTAAAAAGTATTCACATCTCACTGAACAGAAATCCTCTTTCACATGTGTTATTGAAGATACTATAAGATAGAAATAAATTCTGTATATATTCAGGTGATGATAAAAAATTTATTACTTTTTCTTTTCAATTTAGATCACTATCTGGTATTGTTAATTCTGATTATCCAAAAACATTCATCAACAATAATGAATCAAATCATCCAACTATTCTCGATTATAAATCATTATTAACTATGGCTACACGTACACAATCATCAGCAACAGCACTTCTTCAACAACATCAAGAAACTCTATCATTACTTGATCAACCAACAATAAAACGACAACCTTTATCAATAACTAATAATGATTCAATTATTCCAACATCTCATATTAATATACCAACAATAACAACAACAACTAAAAATATAGGATTTAAAGAAAATATATCTATACCAACAAATAATTCAATAATTGAAGAAATTCATCATAATGATGGACGTATTGAACGTATTAAATCAGATTTATCTAAACAAATTCTATTTCCAAATGGTTCAAAACAAGAAATAAGTTGTGATGGTAAACAAATACGTGTTCATTTTTATAATGGTGATTATAAAGAAAAATTATCGGATGGTCGTTGTATATATAAATATGCAAGTACAAATACAACTGAAACTGAATATCCAGATGGTACACATATATATGAATTTCCAAATGGACAAATTGAAAAACATTTACCTGATGGACGACAAGAACATATATTACCTGATAAAACAAAAAATATTTATTTAATTGATGGTACAATTATATCAATAAAAACAAATGGAGAAAAATTTATTCAACATCCAAATCAAACAAAAGAAGTTCATACAGATACATATAAAAGAAAATTATTTCCAAATGGTTCTATTTTAACTGTATTTAATACTGGTGAACAAGAAGTACGTTATGCAAATGGAAAAATTAAAATTAAAGATGCACAAGGCAATATTATTGTAGAAAAAAAAACTCCAACAAATAAGATTAATAAATAATAAAGATCTTTTTTTTTTCTTTTGTTTATTGTTTCTCAGGTAGTTATGTATGTGTGTTTGTTAAAATCCGTCCACGTCTTTTTTTTTCTAGCTCTTGCCTTTTTCTCTCGGGTAATATAAATCTTAATATTCTTTGTAACTGTTTTCATTTAATGATTGTATAAACAATCCTAGGTTAATAAACTTGTAATGTCAATTAAATGAATTGATTTATGTCTAATTTCACAGTTTTAACAATATCATAAAGTTTGTTTTCATTATTTTCGTTTCTAGTCTTCTACGACAGGTAAAGATGAGTTATTCTCTTCCTCATAATGGGCAGGTAGACGAGATAATCGATTTCTAAGATCTGAACCTATGTTGTAGCTGATATTAAATCTGCTCTGGATCTGGATCTTGAATTCTGATTGTAGGCGGGTAGCCGTTTGGCAGTAACTATTGTCCATTTCAGAGTAAAGTGGCCGTGGACATTTTTTTAGTAGCTTCAAAACAAGAAGAGAGAAATAACTCTAGTTTTCAGCACTATCTAGAGTCGACACTGCTCTATCTTTT